TGAGACTGACAATTAGATCGATTAGATTGAAATTTGACCAATCATGGTTTATCTTCTTCCCTCCATATTGGAATGAGAAGAACAAACTCTGAACTAGTGCAGCCAGTTGAGCTGAAAAGAACAGACCCGTCAACTTTAGATTGGAAGGCGGGAAAACGAGGAGAAAAGAGAAAGTCTAACCTGTGCGCGATGAATGTGTAGTGTGATGACTAGAAATGTAATATCAAATGATTTATCCAATGAATTCGTAGAGTACAGAAAACTTTTACGCACTTGATGTGACTGCCTAATTTCTTAGCACCGTGTTTACTTTTTATTCGTAATTGTTTAGTGTATCTCGTGTGTACGATGGCTGATAATAAATGTGTGCAGATGATTCAAACCAACTTTTCATTATACGGCTTGGTACTGTCAAGGCAAGTATTCTGTTTGTTAAATTAAGGACAAAAAGATGAACTCGAAATAAATCGGTAACAGATAAATACAGACAGGTTTGGTATATTTTGTTATGCCATTCCTATATTGTATGCTTATTTATTTATATATTATTATAATGTAATAACATACATTTTCAAATAAATATTATATTATAATTAATTTGATTTATTACATATTTATATTTGTTCTAGGGAGCTTAGAGCATCTCTCGCAAAGCAGCTATTAAAAATACCCCAAGACGAACGTGAAACTTGGCTCAATAGAATTATAGAACTGATCCTGGCTCAAAACTTGGATGATCCACATGTTAGAGCTGAACATATAAAAATTGCTATTGAAGAATGCTTAGAGCCATACAAATTGAAAGACACAGAAACAGTTTTCAATGTTATAAGCGGATATGACATACCGAAGATAAAATATGACATTTCTAAAAAGAAATTTATTATTGACAATGAAAACTCGTACACTGAAACGCAATATAAGTCGTTGGTTTTTCGACATCGCTTCGAAATGGCATGGTACAAAACTCTGAGGCATAAGGAATTTCTGTCTTCTAAATTTGAGAAACAGCAAACTGACAAAACAAATTTGATACCTATTGAATATCTATTAAGCGAGCTGAGAATGGGAAAAGTATGTATAATGGGTTTGATAACGCAATTAATGGAAGACCAATATTATTTGGAAGATATAAGCGGAACTGTCAAGATTGACCTCAGCAATACAATATCCTTTACGATATATTACTTTAAGATAATTGCTTTTATTTTTTAAATATATGTATTTCTTCCAAAATGTATGGAAATGTTTCATGCAAACAGTGGAAACATTTTCTAATATTTTTAAAGATATATTCTTAATATATAGGTGTCTCGAGTATAATGATAAGAAAAATACGTTGATAAGATAGTATACTTTGTAATGAGAAATTATACAACGATTTCACCATAAACAATCATACTTTGATAGTATTTTGAAAAACTAGAAAAAAAATAGATTTGTGTATTCATATTTTTGTTCAGTGAAGTTTAGCTAGTCCTTTTTGAGTTATATTTTAATATAAATATATAAAAATCTAAATGTCAACAGAAGGTATAAGACCTTGAAAAGCAGTAACAGTAATGTCTAATATATATATATATGTTATTTTCCTGATTTTATTTATAAGATTTTCAGGATACTTTTATAATGGAAGGTTGCATAGTAATAGCTAATGGTGTTTACAAGGATGATGTATTACATATAGAAAGTATCAACCTTCCGCCAATAGAATCGTCGGAAAGCTTGCGATCAGATTTTGGAGATAGAAATACATTTGGTGGACCGCATAACATATCATTAAAAATGTCAGAAAAATTACAAGTCCACGAAGGGAACAACCAGGATGGAATGATAGTATTCATAGCAGAATTATGGTTGGATGTTCCACAGGTCTTACAGAAATTTAAAACAGTACTGAGTGGCTACATGGATTATCCTCCCATAGCTTTTGTATTGTGTGGTCATTTCTTAAGTTTTCCTACAAATGTAACTAGTGCGCAAGCTTTGATAACGGGTTTTAAAAATTTGGTTGACATAATAATAGAATATACAAATTTAAAGGAATCTTCGAAATTTGTGTTTGTGCCTGGCCCACACGATTTAGGCTCTCCAAAAATTTTACCGAAACCTCCCTTACCCAAATGCATTATCGAAGAAGTCACAAAAATGATACCCAGTGCTATTTTTACCACAAATCCGTGTAGAATACAGTACTGCACGAAGGAGATTATAATATTGAGAGAAGATATGTTGACGAAGATGTGTAGAAATGCGCTTCGTTTTCCGAAAGAGGAACACTTTTATAAACAAGTAAGTAATCATATCGAGAAGTGCTATCAAAGATGCAACATGTAATAACTGTATTTGTCAAAAATTTCAGTTTGCCAAAGCCATAATCAGCCAGTCACACCTGACCCCTGTACCTCTTCAAGTTGTTCCAATATATTGGAAATACGACCATGCTCTACAGATATTTCCAACACCAGATCTCATTGTGATTGCTGATAATTTTGAAACGTACACGACTAACTATTCCGATTGTTACGTGATAAATCCCGGAATGTTCTCCAAAAATAATTTTTCGTTTCAAACTTACGTACCTGCTGCTAATCAGATTCAAGATTGTCAACTGCCAAGCGACACCAATGTTACTTGAGTTGAGAAGATGGCTATATGAAAAATCGTGGTAATTTTCTTGTACAGAGACATTGTATACAGCTACACTGGATATTAATACATAAGTGACTCTTTTATAATCTTGTATATTTATTTTGCTTTGATAATAAAATCTTGTTTATTTTTTACAATATTTCAAAAACGCGCCGTATCACTTAAATTGTAATTTTTGACACTATATAAGCGCGAAACAAATTAAGCTCAAAGGACAAAAATAATTTAATTACGAATAGGATGATCTCTTACAATTAATGTTCTGTGTCCGACGGTACACTAGGAAGTGTTGAGAAATAACTTTGTGACAATTTCAATTCTTAGGATGGAATATTTATAATATCACGAACAATAATACCTTTTTCGAACTGTTTACTTCTCGTATATCTCCTATGTTGGGATTAATAAGATAGTGTATCAAACCTGAATAGGACACAGATGGTACGCGTACGCTTACTCTTTCCTATCAATTCATATAAATAGATACATAGAATATTAAACACAGTGTGTCTACCATTTTGCAATATACATAACATTATACAGGTACAGACTGGGCCCCAATTTAATTTTTCAATTTGTTGCACTGGAAGCATAAGTTAATTACTGGCCGTAATAAACAAGTATGATCTTTATGTAAGCGTAAAGAGTCGTTAATATTCAATCGTAACATTACAACATAATGATAATACTAACAGTATACTTTGTGTGAGCAATATAACGTTGTCCTTTAGTAACTAATTGCTTTGATATTGCAAAAAAATGACGCAAATATTGTGGAAACAATTATACTTTAGTGTTACACTAAGGTGTATTAATGGCAATAATGAATCCTTGGAAGAAATTTTTTTTACATTATATTCTATGGTTTCGCTTAAAATATTTCAAATGCAACATGCTCTAAACATTGTTAATACTTTACATAACGGAAGTTAATGAGTGATACAAATACAAGGTTTCTTTAAAACATAGGAAGCAAATTTGATATTTTAAATATTAGGTTACAAAGTGCAAATACGTAGAATCTCAGAAATTGAAATAAAGAATTATATATATATATATATATATATATATATGTGTGTGTACGTATGTGTAGATACATATACATATATATGTATATAAAAGAGTAAATTACAACAACTACACACATTAATTCATCACATATATTACAGTGCCATCTGTAAAAAAAAGTACGTTCTTACGTCTATTGCACTTCCTTACAAACACGCATCGTCTTCGACAATTTTTTTCGTACGTTATTCAATTCCTCCTGCAAACATTATCATAATACATAATAATACATAATATTTTATATACAAGTATAACTTCAGTCCAATCGGACGGCGTAGTAATTCTTCATGCTCTACGTCTCACGAGCTATTATTCGTATGTAGTTCTCCTAAAAGAAATTATAGCTCACGTTATATCATATTTGTAGAGTGTTCACATAATTCATAAAATGTAAAAAAATGCCATGCTGTTGATTAAAATTAATAAAATTCCTAAGACTCTCATGTGATTGACACAAATTCGAAGGAATAAAGACTAAAGAACCATGACAGGATGTTAGTGTCTAAATAGTTGTTATTTTTAAATTTATTGCGAAAAATATTACCTCAGCCAGGGTTTGAACCTGAACCTCCCTCTCACTAGGCGGGCGTCTCACCAATTCGACCACCAAGGCATGTAGTAATATTCATCGCAATAAACGGTCTAACGTTGATTCCCGAATGCCACGTATCGTAACAGTATTCGAAATGAGAAATGCGCGCAGACTTAAATCGTCAGTCTTAAAACATACAATCATCTATCTATTTTATTCAATTTATTGAACGTCATAAAACGACGTGATATCGTGAGAATTGGCTTCGTCATCATCATTATTGATATTTCATATAAAAATTGTTATCGGGAAAAGCATAAAGAAAACAGAAAATATGCTCAATGCAATTGTTTACGCACTTTCCCTTTGATATCTTCGGCAAGCCTGATTTCTCTCTTCGGCGTCAAAGTACCAAAGCGTAATGGCATATCTCGTCTTGAACGCTGGTTGCACCTCGTGTGGATTTCGCCTGTCCGACCAGAAAAATAGTATCCTATCGAATAAAGGTTCTATGTTTGCTACTTTATCGCGCCAGCCTTCAGGAAATATCCTCAAAAGTCCGCCATTCTTCTGTAGGCAATAGAAAATATGCAATTATTTAGAAAATTTTGTTGTTATGCAATTATTTTATATTGTCTTTTGGGGTCTAAAAATTCATGTTATTTCTATCTATTGTAGTATCCACAAGATTTTACTAATATTTCCGATTTGTTACTGCAAGCGTGGATGGGCTATAATATCAAAAAGAAAATCACGTATTTGTTACCAGAGTAGATTATACATATAAATGTTATATACTATACAATACCAAATTCCTATTAGAGTCTTACAATTGGTACAGATGTTTGAAATGTTACGTGTGGATGATATAATAAGTATAATTAATTACACATTTTAATACATATGTATAAAATTTTACCTTGACGTCCCAATCCCGATTAAGATAATAAATAGCTGTGATGCAACGTCCATCTCGGTTAGGATTATCCACATGTTTTACATAGTGTGAACCGTGACCAGGGTAACAGGCTACCATCGCCTGGAACATAAAAACAAATTTTTTCTCAAAAAGTAATTGACAAATTGCTATAAATTGAAAAATATTCTATCATTTGAATATCTTATCGCACATCAATTTTACGCACAAGCAGAACCTGACGTGTTACCGATTAAAAAACAAATATGGTGACACGAGAAGATACTAATTCATACCGCAAAAAAGAAAATATATTAATTTTTTCGTTTCTGAAGTCACAAATGTAGCTGCAGTAAAAAATGTATAAGGATATCTATTATCTTTCTATTTTTTGAGATACAAGTCTTTTTTTTCATCATGTTGACTCTAATGAATATTTATGCGTTCAGAGAGATAGCGCAAATGTTATATTATCTAAAAATACACATACACATTTAGAACACTAAAAGGTTCAAAGTACCCGAGTCACACATGTATGGTCAACAACATTTGTTTAATTTAATAAACCACGTAGATAACACGTGCGATAATTGATTAGCGTTGTATCATGTTTAAAAATAAAATTGAAAGTGAGTTATTCTCCATGCTACATAAAAAAAATTCATATTATTAGACTCTAACGAACTAAATTTATTATTGCTAATAATATTTCAGCTAAACAACTATTAGTCCTAGACAAAACGCACTTGAAAAAAAAAGTACGATCTAATGAAAGAGCGGAAGGAGACTATGTATATTTCTAACACGTTTAGAGCAGCATCACGTTTAACATTTGTCGCTTAAACGCAACAAGTATAATGCGATGATTATTAACAAAATATTTCACACTTATTTTTATCTTGGCAGATTAACGAGTGATATGTCACTGGTATTGTACCTACGACGCAATAATTGATTGACTCAACTCAGTCGAAAGCGTGTTGCCTTACGTGCGCATCCTCACGTTTTCTGATAACGAAGTCTGCTTATTGCTAATAAGACGTTGATAATGCCGCAAAAATTCTTACGTATGCTCATCCAGTGAAGAGCTGGCAGAAAAAAAGTTTTCTAAGCACATCCTTCTGCGCGGATTCTTTAGTCAATTTCGAAAGTGTCAAAGAAAGCACGCTTAGAACGAGAGCATCCTAAATTACGCAATGCTTTATCTGATAATTTCTATATTAAAGGACTGTACAGTATTATATTTGTACTATGATTAAGTAAACGTTTTAACTTGACATTCGCAGATATGAGCATTGATCGAAGCGTCCTTGAAGTTTTTCAGCATACTGTTACATGAATAATGCATACCTAAGTAAAAACAGATATTTTTCGTCAAAACTCAGCGCGTTACGTCACAATGAACGCCGCTGTAATTTATTTGGGCAAGAGAGTGTAAAGGCGAGTATCAGCTTTTTTTATTCGTTATTTGTTATTCGGATAAGATTATTTCCGACTCGAAAGCACGCACACGCATTCGCGGACGGATTAACGCATCTCAAATAGTATTATTGCAAATATTGGCGCACGCGCGCAAGTTATAACGCAGCTGCAAAAGTGACAGCGTATAAAATAAGATATTTAGTAAATTGAACGTACGCGATACAGATGATGTACGTGTCCTTGTGTCATTATGAGTAATCGGATATCGAACTAAAAATAGGCACTGATAAATCATGCGAAAGGACAATGATAGCGATCACGAGTCAAATAATCGTTAAACAGTTTAACGAACTGTAATACAATCGCGAACAATACGAGAAATATTCTGAATCTGTTGACAAAACAAGAGATGGCAATTACACTCAACTAAGAACGTTACAGAAAGGCTATCGTAGAAACATGAAAATTCTATGGGATGTACATATAACAGGATATTCCATACATGTGTAACAGCTTTGTATTACGCAACTGCTCCAACTTGGACTGACGGCAGAGAACAATCCGTAAGCGCTCAAGACTGTCTTAAAGTCGTAGTCGTAAGGCAAGGCAGAGAAAAATTTTACTTTTTACGGATCGCGTTCTCTGCCATCAGCCTTATTCTTTTAACCAACGTTTTTATTCCCCTCTCGTTTCGTGCTAAAAGTGAATACCTATATTGTAATTAAAAAATCTCTCTCTCTCTCTCTCTTCGTATTTCATCTTTGCGTCAGATACTTTGATCTTTCATTATTTATTATGTATATTAAAAATCAATGTTCTCTTCAATTGCTCGCGAACGTGCGAAAAGCTTCGCACGTCACGGTCCTTCGTGTTAATAATAAATATACGCCAGGGTAAAGGTTTAATCGGAAATGTGCCTTTTGCCAAATGTCTCCCTGTTCGCGGCGCGCGCGCGCGTCGAAAGAAAGCGCCGAACACCAGCGCGATTGAGCAGCAGCTGCCGGACGCGGGCGGGAGTAGCGAGCGAGGCGAATTTGCGCTGTATCGCGTCACGTCGGCACGAGAGAAGAGAAAGAGGGTGGGAGTCGCGCGGCGTACGTGACTGACTGCACTTGGCGCGATCCCACTCTCCTCCTTTCGGCGTATAATACTCCCTCGCAGATCTTTACATTTTCGGAGTCCTGACCTTGTCTATCGCGTTCACCTCCGCGTGTCATTCGTGCGCTCGAAAACCCTACGTGCTCCCCTGTCCGTATCGCGTCAACATTTTCTACTCGGTGTAAACAATCGCGAAAATAAAGAGAAAGATACATTCTGTAAACCATGTGGACCTGCTGCTGTTTACTGTTATTTCATACAAACGGAACGTTGCCTAAATGCTAAGACGAATAGAAAAACTACTCACTTTCGTTCTGCCAGTGATGGTATAGTTTCCTATTTTGCCATTATTGTGCATCTTATTGGCCCTCATGATAATCGCGTCGACCTGTGATATCAGGGTGCCAATATTGTCGCACTGTTCCTCTTTTCCATCGAGCCATATTATCTCGTCGCCGCGTATCGTCTTTAAGTCATTCACGCCACCTTTATTAGAGACCAATTGTCCGTCTTGAAACAATCCGGCACTGTACATATTTAACACTTCGTTCAACACCTTGAGACCCCTCTCGTTGCCTAAAAACTTGTCCACCACGCATACGCCGTACTCGTCCATGTCCCTTATCACATACTGGCAAATTTTGTCTAGAAGTTCGTCGAGATTGCTCCTGTTCCTATGTAGAAAAGGGGGTAGAAGCTCCTCCTCCTGATCCTGTATCTCCGACAGGTTCTTCATGCCGTTACGATGTTGGCCGGCCGAGCCAAGGTCCGCCTTGCTCAAACTGTCAAAGATCCTCGAACCCTCTAGAATGGGATTGAGGAGCTCGGCTTGAGCTCCTAGTATAATGTCCTCCGAGCTTCCCTCGTACGTTATAGGCGACGTCCAGCCATCGACCTTGTTGTTTCGCCCGCTCCTCGCCTTCCCGCTGTTGGATTTCTTCTTAAGATTCTGCTTCCGTTCTTCCTGACTCGATCCGTTTTCCTGTTGCGCGCAAGAACCTGCAATCAGACCGAGTATGCAAAGACTGCCAGCTCCGTGAGGTCGGCGCGGTTAATTATTCAGAGGCAAAGTGTTTATTGGTCCGCGAGTAAGCAACGACGATAGAATGTCCAAGCGTTCGCTATTTATATCGCCCGAGTTATCGCGGCTCCCATTGTCGTTGCTGCGTAAAATCGACAGCTCCGCGGCCCGGCGAAGGCGCGCGACCAAACACGAGAGCCTACGTACCTGCCAAGTGCTTCTCGCTCCGACGCGGCTCCGTGACGTTCGAGCCCCACGATGCATCCGAGACGACCGAGGTCCTGTTTAGGTTTAGGTTAGGAACGAGCGCGCTCGGCGGGGCTCTGTGATCGCCGCGAAGCGAGGGATGCCGCTTGGACGGGAGCTCGCTGGCGACGACGCCGGCGGAGGCGGCGGAGGCGGCGGGCGACGGCTCCTCCGCAGGCGCAGTAGCCGCGGGATGAGTCGCGCAAAACTCCCGGTGGCGTTTCCAGTCGCGTCTCTGGTGCTCCTTCGTGCAATAGAAGACGACTTTGCAACGCGAGCACCTCGACAGCTTGTCAGTCCTGTCGCAGACCGCGCAGATCACCGCGTCCGATCGTCCTCGTACACCGTCGCCGAGTGTTTGCTGCGCACGACCGACTATCGGTCCGGACATATTTCAACGTCGTTTACTTCAACGCCGCCGCGGTGATCGACGACGACGACATTTCTTCGACGAGAGAAAACTCTTTCGACGCGCTCTTGCACGCCTGTCCGCTGCGCGCTCGCTCGCGCTCGCTTCTGATCGCGCGGAAGGTCCCGCTTCTCTGCGCGTTTCTCTCTTTAATCGGACTCGCGTACGCGCCGCTAGGCCGCGCTGTGTCGCTGCCTCTCCGCGATCTGCCGCCATTATTCGAAATCCTAACCTCCGCCTCTCGATACGTGCATAAATCATTCCGCAGGCACGATTCATCCGAATAATCTCTTCAGTCGTAATGCGTATACACACACACACACACACCCACGCATACATTTAGCTTAGAAAGCTAACAGAAAAAAGTCAACGACGTTTCCGTCAAGTGTAATATGCTGGATTCACCTAGATCCGATGTCCAACGTCATTGGCTTATATTTTCAGATCCAACGTAGAACCAAAAGTAAGAACCAATCGTATTAGATATTCCAGGGTGAACCAATTCAGCACGAGTCTAGTGACTTTAAATCCTAAAGGTGTGTGCAAAGGCATTATTGAACTCTTGGTGTGTTTTGCTTTGCTTTGGTCAGTGAGCTACGCAATTTTTTCATTATTCCACTTTGAATTTGACAGTTCAATTTCCAATGCAAACCTAGATTACAAGACGAATATCGAAAAATAATCAACTGTGTTAGGGTAATTTATAACAATCGTGCTGCACGATTGCACCGATTGTAAGATGGTGAGTTTTAACTAACCTGTCTGACGTCTATCGAGAAGTTGACCTACGCAAAAGATTTTCTTTAAAAAACCAAACATTTACTTCATCTAATCGAAATTTGGTGCGAGCGAGACCTTTTCATCTTCTCAAAATTAATTATTATGTCTGCGCAAAAGCAATACTATGCAAGTGTTCAAGTTGCATGTCAGGCGTGGAGTCTCGAGGTAACGAGAGTAACAATTGGTGTTTTATTACGTTCACATTTTTTTACAGGCAACGTTGAAGCATGACATCGAATTACCGAACAATATTCCAAAATGGCTAATGGAGAAACATGTAAACTATCTCATTTCGTACGGGACCAACAAGGATGAATATGTAAGACTATTTCTCGACTTCTTTCCATGTTTCAAGGCATTTCCCTAAAATTGGTATATTCATGTGTTTTAGAACTATTCTCAGACCGAGCATATGAGGATGTCTGGCCTATACTGGGGCCTTACCGCTCTAGATTTAATGGGCAAGTTAGAGCAGATCAATAGAGAAGAAGTGTTGGAATTTATTGGACAATGTCAAAGTGACAGTGGTGGCATCAGTGCCAGTATACAACACGATCCACATTTACTTTATACGCTTAGCGCAGTTCAAATTTTGTGTTTGTATAATGCGTTGGACATAATAAACGTCGACAAAGTTGTCGACTACGTTAAGGAGAGGCAGCAGGCAGACGGAAGTTTTGTGGGTGATCAATGGGGCGAGGTGGATGTTCGATTTTCTTTCTGTGCCGTCGCTACTCTGTCGCTCTTGGTAAATATCTCAGACTATACATATGATATATTGGAATATTCCCTGCAAAGTCAAAGTGTTTTCCTGCAAGTTCCAAAATGTCTGAAAATGCTTAGATCTTAGGGGATTTAAAGATAACATTTGTCCATAGAACACATCTTCAAAAAAGTAAATTAAAAAAATTGTATTTCTATACCAAAAGGTAATCGTGAAACAAATTTAAGTAAATTTGTCTTGTGGTATTAACATATTTCAGGACCGTTTAGACGAGATAGATGTCGAGAAAGCAGTGGAGTTTGTATTAAAATGTATGAACTTTGACGGAGGATTTGGCTCAAAGCCAGGATCTGAGAGTCACGCGGGTTTAATTTATTGTTGCGTTGGGCTACTTTCGATCACAGGTATATACAGAAATGTACAGAATATAATATGCAGAATATACTGGATCATTTACCAACATCTTTTTTAGGGCATCTGCACCTGATAGACGCCGATCGTTTAGGATGGTGGTTATGCGAGAGACAACTACCTTCCGGCGGTTTAAACGGTAGACCCGAAAAGTTACCAGATGTATGCTACTCTTGGTGGGTGTTATCGGCGCTAACAATTTTAGGTCGTCTCCATTGGATAGATAAAAAAGCCTTAGTAAGTCATCATTCTTGAGAGATATTAAATGAACCGTCAAATCAAATTTTTGTTAACAATTTTTCTTATTACTAACCATTTCGCTATTTTACGTTTTTGAATGCCAAAACCACACAATTATAAATATTACAATATAATATCTTTTTCTCGTTTTTCCACAGGTGGATTACATTTTGAGTTGTCAAGATGTTGAAACTGGCGGATTCAGTGATCGGCCCGGTGATATGGTTGACCCTTTTCACACTTTGTTTGGCCTCACCGCATTGTCGATGTTAGATGAGAATTTTTCGTTGAAACCAATAAATCCTACTTACTGCATGCCAGAGTATATAATTGATCGCTTAGGTCTCGAACCATCGCGACTCGATGCGTGATTATACAATGCTTTATGATGTACTCTGATATGCTTTATGATGTACTCTGATATGCTTTATGATGTACATTAATTCTCTTTGTAAAATATACAATTGTGAACTTTCCAAGATATAAATTTTCATTCGATAATCCTTAATATTCCGACTGAAGTAAAGAAATTATAATTTTTTTCTTAGAGAGCATTTGTCTCTAATTGAACACAAAAGTACTCGGCTGTATCAAAAACTTAATATCTTTTACCCGATATTTTAATTAGAAAATATTTCTACTAGTTTTTACAGCCTTCTATTCGGAAATGCGCGCTGAGTGCCCTCAACCGAGAATAAATATTATAATTCTAAGATTTCATTACATTTTCAGTCGGTAATTCTTAGATACAACATTACGAAAATTCAGTAAATTTCCGACAGGTGTCATTAGTTTCACTTAAAGCAATCTCAATAAAAAGCATTAAAAAAAGATAGAGCATTTAAACTGTCACCTGAATTCTTTTTTTGATCGAGATATTGAAACTAAATTTTTTTTAAATATTTCTATGAATGAATTTACTTTTGAACCGTAGATATTTATTGGAGTTCAAAAAGATTTAAATGTTTCAACTATCATATCAATTACCATTTGCGAATTTATAATATGTAAATGCGAGAAAATAATAAATTTTAACAAAGCAGTTAAAAAATAAATTAAAAAAAAATTAAACTAAGTGAATTTGATTTTTTCGAAGAATGACTATAATGATTGCTTAATTGAGCTTAATAGTATTATTCGCTATTTACTGGGCCTAAGCATACATAATCGCTTCAAGAAATCGCTATTGAACTTCGGCAACGGATAAAACTTTTTGTAATCATATTTAATATTTCATTTTAAATCCATCTTTGTATTTCATTACATCACACTTTATGTATTCTTGCAAAAGAATACAATAGAAAAGAAAACTATGATAATATAAAATAGCCTTTATTAATAACTACCGACAATATAAAAATGTATTTAACAGAAAGATAAAATAATAATATAAAATTATAATTGCAAAAAATTAAAAGTTCTGACAGTATAATGCTAAGAAATCCTGTAAAATAATTGAATGACAATATTATTATATCTTAACTACCATAGCGATAGATCGTGGTAGTTAAGATTTATCCTATAGCAACGTTTTGCGGCCCGACTTTACCAAATAAAACAAAACTTGATTTACAAACTTTATTTTACCGTCTAGATTAGATAATCCTAACTTACACTATACCTAAAACTTCAAGATGTTTGCTGTAGGTCGATCAGTGTAAATTGGAAAAGTATATTTAACTGAAACTAACTAAACGTTACAACTTGAAAACTACTTTCTATACTGACCCAACAGTACAGGCTAAATTTTCATTAAAAATTATAGGCTAATGTTTCATTAAAAATGTCTATTTCTACAGCCTTTTAAAAGATAGTTCATTTTGGAAAACGATTCAATTTCGACTATCTTCCCCTGTAAGACTTTTGAAGATATTCGATTTGTCAACAAAGTAGAAATCGATTTGTTCTCAGCACAACTATTCAGATTGGTTAGCACTTTTCTCAATCTTCCAAATTTTGACTTTGCTATCAAAATTAAAGTTTTATTGAAATATAGTTGCTATTTTAAAAGAAGCTTTATTTGCGTGCGTGTATATTTCTTAATTAAACTTGTAAGAGAAAAATCACAATATTTTTCGTTTGATATAAAATAACACGCACTTCTGATTAAAGCTTATTTGTTGTTCAACTGTGAAAGACATGCATCGTGTGAAATCGCATTATCGTCTCGAAAGAGTTAAAGTACTTAAGGTGTGATACGGAACGACAAGTTAAAAATATTTGTTGCCGCTCGTTATTGCTTGGAATTGCCTATTTGTTTAATAGAAATAATGAAGCAGCATTGTTACGCAGACGTGATACGAATTCCTTCCGAAGACGCTTCTAGAGAACACGTCTGGTTGAAGTATTAGTGTACATTACGCGCAACGAGAATTGCCATTTTGTCGGCGAGGCACGAGGCGTAGCGACACGCCTCTTGCCAGCAAACTCCGAGCGAGGAAAGCGCTTCGATCCGATTGGTTTATCTTCTCCCACCCTCCCTTCTCTACCTGTAAGGTTGGCGCGGTCACCGATCAAGAGAGATTAGGTTAGATCTCGTTAACTAGGAAAAGATCGATCCCGAGTTCTCTCGATGAACAGTACAATTTTGCTAATGGTACACAGAAACGCGCGCGGTCAGCACGCGCAGGATTTACAATCGCGTTCGCGTGGCTGGAACGAGACAAAGACAAAAGTGATTTCACTAGTCGGACTTGAATATTTCAATCGTTTATTCAAGAGCAACGATACTCGACAATCAAAAGTTTTTCTTTGCGTAGCTCTGCTATCGAAAATTAGTCTTTGCGAGTTGGTATCTGTGTAGTAAATTCCTCTCGGCGTAATTTCAACTGACCTGGTCGACGACGAAGACGTTTCTTCAATTTAGGAGAAAAATAATAACACTTTTATTATGCAAATCGCCTGTCAACTCGCGTACTCGCGTAAACTACACGGTCTAGCTGCGCTTATACTTGGCGCGAGACACTACCGTGTCTCGTGATTCACATCCCGCTGTAACACGTTGTATTTGCGCAACGATACGTAACGATAACAATGAATCGTTAGATATTTATGCACAAAATTGTACGTTGATACACGAGCTAACCACTTGCGTGCAAAAGCACAGACTAGACGTATCTTGTGTAAGCAAAACTCGGGCGTAAGACGAGCAAAATTTAGACGCAAGAATTGTGATCTGGGCAGTAGCTTTTTGCTCAGCGGCAAATCACGTATTCATTTAAAACTACAGTAATATTAAATAAAAAGACGCGTTCCAGAGTCCCGAAAGCAAGTGACATGTTGTATTTGCGCAATGATACGTAACGGTATGTACAACGGGTTGACGTTTTTCGTAAAAGTACCAAAAGAAATATATTTGATATCTGGTGAATATACGTCTTGAATAAATTTTCCATTTCTTTCGTTTAAAAGTACAAGAATATAAAATAAAAGGACGAGAGTTGCAGAATCGCGAAAGAAAGTCAACACACCCCGCTGGGGCTTATCAAACGTTCCACCGTTCGATGTCGAGGATTAGACTCGACAAAATTACACCGGTTTGAATCCTTGGGCCGCGGATCGATCCGCGCGTTACGAAACGCGCGGAAGTTCTCTCTCTCTCTCTCTCTCTCGTCGCGCCGGCGACGTAGCCAGTAACCCGGTGGCGGCCGGTGGCCGGTGGTGCACGGCCGCACACGGTTATCAGTGGGCGCGAGGGCGGCCGCGGCAGCGCGATATCGGATTGGCCGGTACTCGAGTGCTCTCGTTCGTTCGAGGGAGGTGGCTCCGAGGCTCACGCTCGCCAAGGCGCCCCGCCCACGGGAATCCGCTCGCGGACGGATGGAGGACGGGCTTGTTGCGACGCGCTCGAACCCCCGGGGCTCGGGGTGGGAAAGCTACCGCGCCATTGGACGGAGGTGGGTGCCGGTAGCGCGAGCGAGACCGGGCGAGAACGCGAGACACGAGCGGGCTCCAATCCGGGACACGGCGGAGCCGCGGGTTCCCCTAGTAGGGGAAACCCGTTGCGGGGGTGTGGGTATGGATCGGCCGCAGTATCCGCGGAGACGCGATCGTGGGTACTCGGCGTGCTCGGGCTCGGGGGGGCCTCGCGCGGCGAACACGGACAGTGTTGAGAAACGTCCGGATTGTGCCGTACCGTGACGATTGTGGTAGCGTGTAGCTCGCGTACACCGTCTCGCTCGCCTCGCTCGCCTCGGCCGGCCGCGGGTTGGGACCCCGTGGTTGGGTCCGATGGAAATTTCCGTCTTCGGCCGTGGCCGAGAGCAGCAGCCTACCTCGTGCTCCCGCCGACTCGCGGCGAGGATACCCAGGATGCTGGCGCGTCGGCGAACGTCGTGCAAAGTGTCGGGCGTTCGCACGTAAGGGAGGAGTGTGGGACAGAGACACTGGTCTTCGGTATCCTTCGTCTCGCCGCTCGTCGATAATGCCGCGGCCCTCGCGCGATACCTACGGCGATCAGAAACCGCCGTACTCCTACATATCGCTCACTGCGATGGCGATATGGTCCTCGAGGGACAAGATGCTGCCGCTCGCCGAGATTTACAAATTCATCGCCGATCGCTTCCCGTACTACAGGAAGGACACGCGGCGATGGCAGAACTCCTTGAGGCACAACTTGTCCTTCAACGACTGCTTCATCAAGGTTAGTCAACGTATCCGAGCTTCGATTCGTCCTTCTCCCTTTCTATTCGATCTTGCTTCAATTACTATTTCTAGGAGGTTACTCTACGAAATTTCTCTCAAAGGTCGCCACCTCGCTCGACGAAAATCAGTGACTCAAGCCTACGGATTGAGATTATAGGATTAGATTGAAATTTCACCAATCGCAGTAAACTTTTGCTCCAATTGGGCAAATTTCAATCTAATCTCAATCTCGATCAGATACGGGCTCGACGAGGGATAATATTGTCCTAGTTTTGTTTAGGCCCGGTCTACAATGAGTTTCACCCAGGCTTAGTTTTAACGAGCGCTGCGTACACCACTTGCAAAGCGATGCCTCAAATCGCGGTCGTCGAACGCGAAGCGTTACGAACGGATCTTTGATTGACGTGATGCGCCTCTTGAGCGTCAACGTCCGGGCTCGCGCGGAGCGACGACGCAACGCGCAAGGTGCTTGGTGTTGTATTATCGAGCCATCTGTTTCGCACCTGCCAACGTGTGCGATCATCGTCATGGCGCGTACCGTTCACCCGCGGTTTCCTCAAAATTACCAAAGAACGCCGATTCCCTTTCGTCGCTCGATCCTTGGCTGTCACTGCCAAATCACTTCCAACTTGCCTGCACGCCGCGTCTCACAGCCCGATTGTGAGACAAGTTTCACCATGGTTAACGAGATATCCTAATTTTATATGGTCCCGGAATACTGAAAATCACGTACATATATCAGTGCCTACTAACGTCCAGTGCACGGAGAGATTTTTCCCTTAAAATTTGTCCCGAAAATCGTGTAATCGTGGGACAACGTGGCATTCTCAACAACTTTATGAGAGTTTCTGAAAAGTTTACCATAGTGCCCCAGCAAGGCCAAGTAACATCCACCAATGCCCCTCGTAAGGACACTTGATGCGCAATTCTACACAAACTGTACAACTCGAAACCTTTCAAAATGCCCGGTTTTTAATTTGTTATTATTTTTCCAAACTTCCCGTGATATTTACCATTTTAATGATCACCGTGAAGCATGTTTAAATATCGAGAGCTTTGAAAAAAATGTGATAACTAATTATACGACGGATCGATAATAATTTAAACGTTTATGACGTTTACTTGCCGTCAATATTCTTGTTAACGTGACACAATAATACATATTTTAACTTGGTGATTCATTCGTGTACGTTTGCTGCATATACCATTGCTGCTAATTCGAGAATGTCTTCGCTATGACGTTACGCCGCGATGTTACAATGAACTAATGTAACGATAAATATTGTAGAATACAATCGATTGAGAACTCGCGACGTTGCCCGATGCAATTTGCATAGCGTAGACTCCTCTAGACTTTTCAGACTATTATTTAGATTGCACTCAATTGTAGGGATAATTTTGCAATTATTATTTAGTTGCTTCATAGTACAGCTCCGGCATCCATGAAAAATATATTATGTCAATTTTCAAACATGTGGGAAGACTTAAATCTATGTATGTATATTTAATTATTATATTGTGCATTTCACAAAAGATTCAATTTATTCATCGCTGCCTTCTATTTCGCGTGTATAAGTTTGGAATGAGAAAATAATCGACACATCTTCCCTGAGTTCGGTAAAACCCAAGTGAGTCAATTTTTAAATAAGACTCTAATTTGAGACAACATTTCTAACAAAAAATTAACATTCTACGAACATGATTAATGTGATACTTTTTTTCTTAAAATATTTTACAACTAGGCACATATCGTTAGATTTGAAAATTAAAAGATCATAATTAATCTACTTGAGTCGAGAACAATTTTAAATTAAAAAAGAAGAAAATCAGACATTGTTGTCAAGTTTAGTAGAATATTTGTATTCTTTTTGATTGGGCAAATTTTACCCTATATGAGCCTCTGTTTACAACGAATAATAATTACCGTCACTAGAAAGCGTGAAACTATAAGCGGAAACGATAGAAAGTAATAATGTCTCTGAGAAATTTTCGAGAAATTTTATGCCGGAAGAGCAAGCGTTGATTGTGAATTAATTAAAATCAATATTATTTACATACAATAGATGTAAGCAAACTATAACAGTTGACAGAGGAAATGTACCCGCTTGCTTTTTCTACGGATTCTTCGGTCAATTTCTGCCGAGGTTACAAAAGTAATCGTTTTCGGATTTATAATCTTCTTGTGTAAATTGATAGTAAAATGTTATGCTTTTACTCACTCAAATTCAGGATTGAGATAGAATTAAATGTATGAGGAGATGTTCAATTAAAGTTTCGACATAAAGAGGCAAAGCTAGCGATTGGCCAGATAATTCATAGATAAAAAAAATTAATTTCTCGCTAGTTTTATTAAGTGCCAGTCTACTAATACTAATCACAGTCGCGTATTCTACTCATACTTGACCATGATTGATCAATTTCTTAAGGCTTAGGACTTAAATCATCTATTGTAGACTGGGACTAAGATGGTGGAATTGTATAAATTTTGGATTTGTTTCCATCGCATTTCTCATTGATATTTTCAGCACAGTGTAAGTTAATTTTATTTCTAAGATAAGGAATAGTTCAGTAAAGACCAAGAGTTTGAGTTATCAAAAATTTTGTTCGACATTATCGCTTTAAAATTACATTGTAATTATTATTTTAAATATTTCACTCGCGTTCTCTCTCTAGAATACGCGTGTAAAAAGTGTAAATGTAGAACTAATAAACCTACCATGCATATGTACAATACAAGATAGAGAGAGAGAGAGAGAGAGAGAGTTTAAATAATGTAAAAGGTTGAAAGACGTAAACGATTGCAGCACAACTTTTTTAGTTGTCGTTCATCATCGTTTGTCACAAGCAGAAAAAAATGTTAGTTTTGATAAATGCACTCTTTGTGCAACTCTCAGTCGAATTTGCTCGAGCGTTTTGGAACGTAATTCCTCGTCTTCCCCACGAACACGATTGAAAACTCGAGGCTGTCGGTAACGATCGAGAGAAGTGACGCAAAAGACGCGAATGTGAGCGCGGTTCGACCGATCTCGTCTACCTCTCGTCGAGGCGTGGTACTAATAATAGCGGCGGTAATATATTTCCCTTGGCGAGATCTGTCCGGCAGCAGGTTATGCCTTTCCGATCGAATTAACTCAGCCGATCGGCAGATAATCGTTTCGCGTTATTAAATGTAAAACCTGTTCGTTCCTGGCAAGTAATGGGCTCTCCTGGCTCTCTACAGCTCATCAATCGCCGCTAAGACTGCGCCTTATATCGGCCATCGTCGCGAGGAGACGCGGTGGACGGTGTCTAGGTGCCTAGGTGCCTTTCCACGCGATACCGAGGGGAAAAACAGGGGCTACTCACCTGAGTGTGCGATACGAGCGGCCGTGCTTTACGAGAATCACGTAATTGCCTCGGACATCGTTGCCAGCGTTTTACGCGACGGCCGGCACATCTTCCGTCTCCCGACTCTCGATCGTCCATCGAGATATCAATTAAGGCGCGACTTCGCAGACGCGTATTCATCAAAGCGTGGATTTCCAAGTAGCGCAGACCTAGTTTCAGGCCGATACCGAGTTTTCCAATCGACGCCACTCAACTTTCCGTTCCTACAACTCTCGTCGGCGTTCCACACGGATAAACAAATACTCGACTCGTCTTCCGTATCGTGTCCGTTATGCTCCTTCCTTCAAAACTACTTTTTTTTCTTTACCTTACGTTATTTGGCGTTTGGTAATCGCAGGTTGCGCTTATTTTTCATTTATGTTAATCTTATTTTTCATTTCCCATATCAATAGCTGTCAAACTTGCAACTGATAATGAGACTATTAAACTAAGGCTATCAGTTTTAAGTTACGATACACTGCAGATATCCAGATACTTTATGTGTAAAATCTTGTTTTATGGAACGGATAATATTTATGATATTTCTAAGTGCGAATTTAATGCAATTTCGCTAGAAACATGAACAGAAAAGCTCGCTAAAAATCAACCTTCAAGAATGGCATTGTTTGTCATCTACCTATTGTCGCAAATTCAATATGGATCGACCTGCCATTCGATTGTTTATGCATTGGCAAACTTTTCACAATGAACCCTACACTTTTCTTATGGAAAATGGGTTTAGATGAAATTGGCTGAAACTTTGCCATTTTGTACTTCAAGTGATGCTGATCGAAAGTTACTATCGCCACAAGTGGATATTCGATGAGCTGTTTTCGTTCTAGAAAGATTGACTTGTGCCAATGGTAATTTTCGATCGGAATCACTAAGGTCCGATTTCACCAACGTCGTTTAACTTTAAGTTTAGCTTAATTCGATTTTTATCTCTTTTCAACTGTTACTTTAGAAAGGGACAAACATGAATTGATTAAGAAGATTAAAGTTGAGCGACGTTTGGTATAATCGGAGGCCGGTTTTTCCAACCTCTTGGTAAGATAACTAATAGTTAGATTACATGTATATTTTTGCCTAATTGGAAGGTATTCGTTAACTTACCAAGAGGTTGGAACAACCGGCCCTATAATTGAAATATAAAACGACAAGGTTTCGGCCAATTTTACCTAAATCTATTTTCCATAAGAAAAGTGCGCGGTCCTTTCTGGCAAAGCTTCTAATACAAGTTCCGACTAGAAGAATTAACGATAAATTAGCTCTCGTGAAATTGGTCTGCCTCCAAAAAGTACTTTTGATACGGTTTAAAACTGCAACTTTAACAAATGCGCGTTACCAAACATTTGCTTTGATATCCCTGATGTGATCGCAGCTTATCGTGCAATCTCCTAAAAATTTTGAGAAGAATTATCTATGCGATAGTCTTTTAGAAAATAGAATTGGTCAATTATAATGACATATAAAAGAAAGAAGTCTGTGACTGGTGATACATAATTGGTGTTTTAAATCGAAGACATTTGACGCCGTGACTGCCGCAATTTGCTAAACCCGATGATCCGATTGCAGGTACCGCGCGGTCCGCATCGGCCGGGAAAGGGAGCCTATTGGGCATTGCATCCCGCCGCATTGTCCATGTTCGAGAACGGTTCGCTTCTTCGCCGACGGAAACGCTTCAAGCTGCACAAGCCGGACAAGGAGCTGCTCAAGTCCGAGCTGCAGGCGCTCGCCTCGGCGATGCCGCCGCCGCCGTTGCCACCTCCACCGCCGCCGCCGCCTCCGCCGCAACCGCAGCCGCACCCGGAACCGGTCGTGTCGACCGGCGGAATTGTCGACGCGGGCGCGACGTGTCCCAGCAATGGGCTTAGTCTGGCGAATCTCCATCGCTTGCGGGACGATCTGCTCCGATGGGAGATACAGGAGAGGCGAATGATGGTCGCCACCGCCTCGAACCACGGCGACTTCGCCGGCGCGGCCGGCTTCGGCCGGTTCGACGGTACCGCTGGCCTGCCGGCTGGACCAACCGCGCCGGAAGCCGTCACCGCCGGCTACTATCTACTGTCACCCGAAGTGAGACAGAGACTGGCGGGCGGTGCCACCGACGGCGGTAACGAGATTCTGAGGACGTACGAGGCCGCCGCGTTGCTGCACTCCGCCGCTTCCTGGAACTTCCCCGGTTTCCCGACGGTCTCGCCGTCGTACGCGGTGTCGCAGCTGCCGTATATCCAGCAGACCCCCGCCAGTAGGCAGGCCATCCATCCGACGCGGGAGATGCGAGAGATGCGAGAGATGCGGGACGAACGCCGTCTGTCGAGCGACCGCGCGCTGGACAACGGACCGGTCATCGCCGCCAGCACCGGCAGAGAAAGCGAGACGGTCTTCACGGGTGAGAATAGTTACGAGCTCACGGGCTACAACCGCGACAAACTCGCGGAGGAGGAGCCGCTCTCGTCGTCCTCGTCCTCGTCCTCGTCCTCCAGGATGAATCTCTATCGAGGTGCCGCTCTGACCACCGCCGCTTCATCGCCGCCGACCTCGCCCACCTCGCCAAACTCGCTCGCGTCCAAGTCGTCCTATCGCCACCTGTCGCCAATCTCGAGCCTGGCGGTGGAGGTTGAGCGAACGCAGTTGCCCTCCAATCGCGAGGACCAGGTTGTCTTGACCGCGACAAACACGGAGAAGAGGGTTAAGAAACCGTTCACTATCGAGAACATTATTGCGCCCGACGACAACGAGGGTAGCGGCGACGGTGGTAGTGGTGGTGTCGGTGTCGGTGTTGGTACTGGCGACGAGGAAACCTCGAGGCTCACTGACGAGCCGATCGCGAAAAAGTCCTCGCTCCTCGTGCCGAGACCGCTCTATGCCGGGTACTCGATGTCGATCGCAACCACGGGTGTTCAGAGGCCGTCTTACGGCACCGCCACTTGAACTCTGTTCGCTGTCTCGATCGAAGGGATTAGCTGAACAACGCGAGAATCCATGACGCGTCTTGGAAACGTCTGACGGATGTTTTCACAAAGATGCCGAGCGTGCTTTCGACGCCTCTATCGTGTCTCCTGGATGTATCTGTGCGTGCCTGCGTGTGTGTGCGTGTGTGCGCGTATACACTCCACCTTCATTTACCTGAAATCCTGCGGAAAGTGACTGGTCCGCGTTATCACCGCAGCTATATCCAGATCGGAGCACAGCGTTCGTATACACGTACGAAGCGGAAAGTCCCCAGTTATCTTATTTCGAATTCTGTTAGATACGCGAAGGTGTAATGTATTTACGAGAATGCGTCCGCGAGAAGAGATTCGCAGAACTCGCTCTTTACTATTGACTTTTCGAGATCTACACTGTCTTGTTCGACGCGACAAAATTCAAAGACGATCACGGACGCTTTTCTATTCGATCGCGATCGATCGAACGTAATTGCTGCGATTTTCTGTCCAACTCACCGCGAGTCGACGCGAATCAACGTGATGCAAATGTAGGGAGACATCGTAGACAACGTTAGTTCCTCGTTTCGTAAAGATCGTCCTTCTCGGGAAGGTCTTTGCTCGCTAATATTGGTTTTCGTCTCGTGCGCCGCGAGAGTCGCTTGGTCTGTAAACTTACAAACTGTCCGCGAGCAGTTAGCTAGACTTATCGTAATTTACGTACGAGCGCAAAGGTGATCGATTATATTGTTAACCGCGGTACCCCGAATCGGCAGTAGCGCGCGACATTGTGCACAAAGATAAGTAACAATTATCGCTCCAAGTTGCGTCGCGGCTTTCGCCTGTGTAATTAACTTAATTAGACGATCTCTAAACGATTAGGCGCGGACGCGGGCGCGAGCACAGCTATACCGATATTAGGTTCAGCACATAAAATTAACAATATGGAGCTAACTTTGAAGATTCGTGTATAAATATGAATTTCAAAGTTGGTTTTGTGCCGTGTAACTATTTAATTGGAATCTTTTATACAAAAGGAATACAAAAGGAAAGCCGGTTTTAATTTTCGTCACTTCAACGAGTCTACAAAATTCTTGCGCGCCTTTTGGAAATATTTATATGGGAAAATCTACGTGCTATTTATTTTTTTTTTAATAATCTATAAAGCCACGAGAAAACAACGAATATACATTGCTCACATATTTATTCATCTGTCTTTTTGTAAAAATGTAAATATATTTATAGATTAATATAACTAACTTATTAATAATTAAATTTTAAGCAAACCAAAAACCGTCGGTTTGAAAAGTAGATTAAGATTTACATCGTAAATTATTTTTGTAACATGAATCTCTGTCGAACATTCTCTCTTCTCGTTAAACAAAATTCTTAACAAAACTATATATTTTACTTTCACGAAATAGATACGAAGGTGCTTGATTCCTTTTCTATAGAAAATGTCCAATTAATAGTCTCGATATTAATTCCGTAAAATTTGAAACCGCATCGTTATCCAGACTCTTGAGCATTGCCACCAAATGCGTTTCCTTGCGTAATGTACCGTCGATTAAATTATAAGCCTTGCATCTCTGGAAACAAGAGACTGCTCGTTACATTCGCATCCATCTATGTATATTCTGTACTCGTACTCGCTCGAGCAAAAACGATTTGTAAATGTAGAAACGATTCGTAGCGAAATAAATTATTGTATATACGTAGAATAACGATATAAATACAAGTGTTTTTTTTATTCTCACCCTCTATGTTATATCCTTTGCCGTTGACAGAGAGATGCCGATTTGTACCTTTCATATGATTGGAGTAAATTAATAAATTTTAATATCTTCAATGAATTTCAAAAGTGTACGCGTGTTACTCTTAAAATAATTTTCCTTTTTCTTTACCTATCGATGTATTAATTTCTTTCTTATATGCTTTACACGCGAGGGGAGAGAGATCGTTAAGATGGAATTTATGATAAAAAGCCGGTACTATGAGAAAAATTAAACTAGTTTATGTCCAACTCTCCGGAAATATGAGGAATTTCGCAAACTTTTGGAGACTCTTTCGAGAATTAGAGCGCAACGCATTTTTCCAGCCGACCACAGCTAGAAGAAGGATTTTCTCTACTGCAAAATGTGATAGTTTCAGCTTCGAATCGATTGAGCTGGAAGTAACTTTGTTATATTACTCGTTATACTTGAAATATGTTAGCGATATAAGTCGTGTTTGGTGGGCGCTCGCCGGGAACACATGGACGGAGAGGCGTGTGTTTGTCAATTAAGTGGAAAAACGTGTTGATTTCACGCATGGCTCGGGATTACGGGCACAATGGAGATTGTTTAAAAGCGCTTTGTTGTCGGGAATGGGAAGCGCGGACCACCATGCCGCGTCGAACCGTGGCCGCGACCCATCCCGACTTTTTTTCTTTAACGTACCGGTTGCCTTTCTGCGCTCTCTTTCCATGGGAGTCCGTGTAGCGTGCGTAATAAAAAGGATTATCCGTAATTTCTGCCTCTAATGGAGACGGGGAAGATTTAATAAGGACTACCTCAGCGAGTCACGCTCGTTGGTGGGTCTCGTTGCGTCCTGCGATACATCTAAGAAGAGTAGGACAGAGAATGCGAAGGAGTATAATAATTCTTAGTATCGGTTCTTCTCTCGTGTCGCAAAAGATCGCTAAATATCAAAGAGAAATGAGCCATGCTTTACACATTTATGCACGTGTTTTGTCTTTAAATACAACTTGAAAACTTTTATCAACAAATACTTATTGATTTAAATAAAGTGCAATATACTTGTATCATTCTTAGGATATAATGTAAAACATGACATAAATAAAATGTATAACTGTCAACCATTTTATCAATGATATTGTACGCTCGCTGTTGAAAAATATTTATAAATAGCTATTCTAAATTATTCTAGAAGGATTCTCGGAGGATTCATTTGGATGAAATTGCAAGGAAATTTGTGGTGAAAAGAGTCTGGTATTATTCCCGATTTTAGAGTAAGCAGACGGAAGGCAAAATAAGTCGAAAATGTACGACTATACGAGAGATCGCGATCGGCAACCGTTATAAGCGGCTAAGTAATGAACACGATAGAGCGCCATTATTACTTTCCATTGAGAAGGATTTATGGACAAAGCAGTCGCGATAATATTCAACGGCGGCGCATCGACCTCGTATGATCAATCGTTACGCTCTACAAGTACGCGAATCGATTATCGTTAATAAAGCTCGTTAAAGATAGTGCTCGGCAAACAAGTCGGTAGGTATAGCCCCTCGCCTAAAGGTCACTTGAACTAGCGGTAGTTCGGTTTACGTCAACTAGCAGTTCGATATTTAGCGTGCACTGACCGTGTACACGCCGTAAAATATTTAGATGAGAGCATCGCGCGCGATGGTGTGAACGTGACATTTATTTCTTCAACTTGCTTTTCAGCCGAGATAACTTGGAGATATAAAATTACTATAGAAAGAGATGAATAAATGAGTGGCTAAAAGAAACCAGAGGCGAGAAAGTAAATGTTCTTTCAAAACAATTCCTACATCGACTGCCTTAATCTAATATAAATTTCAAGTCTCTCTCCTCAATCTTTGAACGTCATTCTTTCGTTCAAGCACTCCTTGTTCAAAAAAATAATAGATATAAGTAGAGGGAAGTCCCCTATTATGAGATAGGATTCTAACATGAGATAGCAGGTTTTCAACGTCCAAGTTCAATCACAAATCTTTTTTCGCAACGATTACACGATCTATCAATTTTCCACTAAACAGATTTCACTCCAAAGGCAATAAATTTATGGTGGAACCAACAGATGACGCCAATTAATTTAGCAGAAACTCCGCGTAATAGAGGACTTTCCTTTACCAATTATTAACAAAGGTGTAGATGATAAATACATTTCTGTACACGTTTGAAAGAGTTTTGTGACGCACAATTTCATGCTTGCTTCACTTATTCACAGATAAGTACGTTGGGTGAATTTAAAAAGAAAAGAGCATACCCGAGTTTTACAAAAAAACCGAATCACGCGCGGGAGAATCGAAAAATCAATGCTCATTCAATTATCCGATTAGATTAGTAGTGGATTGTGAACGCGCGTTTGCGCTCGGGTCATTATTTGTGCCATTATAACGCGGCCCGAAAGCAAGGACTTAACAAGGCTTCGAGCAAATTCATACAGAAGAAAAACAACGAAGCCGAAGGATCGAAGCCGAACGGCGACGTACGTGCCGGCCACGAGATAGAAAGGGACAATCGGAATTACCTTTCTCTACCTTTCGTTCTCTCTTCGCTCTTTTTCGCTCCTTATACTCCTACCCTGCAAACTGTCCGTCTTTTATCGAAAGCGGCGCGGCCGTGCTACGTGATTCGCTGATAATACTCGATATACATATTCTGCAAATCGACGAAACCTACTCGTTACTAGGCAAACATTTCGGTCGAGAAGCAAGGTAAAGGCTGCTCCAAACGACACGACTTTTGGCGATGGCCTTTGAGCCAACATCACGGATGAAACAGATACAGACGTTTGTCAAAAAGTATCAGTACAAATTTTTTGATGCTGCTAAATTACCGCGGGTAGTTAATGATACCGGTTTGCGGGAATATCAATTTGGGATATTAATCTTAAACCCAGCGAGAACACTAACGTCGAATGTCCATGGGGTCGGAACGAAACCGCGTTCCGACCGTCAGTTTTCGAAAATAAAAGTTTTGCAATAAATAAGTTAACTTGGCAGTTGTCTCTAATAAGATGTTAAAGGTATTCAGAACGTTGTGAATGTAGTAAGAAAAGATGAAGTTCCAAAACTTAATTATTTTCCGAAACTGTTAGTGTTCTCACTGGGAATATGCAGTTCTGTGGCGCAATTACAAAGAAAAAAGTAATTCAGATGTAAAAGTAAAAGTTTACAATCTTTTCGCACAAAACTACGTACTTAAAGAAAATAGTTTCTGAGAATTGTGAAGCAATATTCTCGCGCTTATTTCGGTTTAGATGATTTTCGACAGTCCCGGACATGGATGCATATTTCAACACTTGGGTAAATTGTAATTTACGATTAGTTAGCTTAACAAACTGTTTAAACACCGCTGTGTATCAGCGAGCTAAGTATAGACCTGGGTACATCTGATATTGACCTGAAAATTATTCGATATCGTCTGAAACAGCCTTAAAGCGCTGCGTGCCGAAATTCCATGCCCGATGTACATATACATGTCGGATCCGCATTGTACGGCAAGAGTTCGTTGCGCTTTCGCGTTTGCGAGTAAACAAAAGGCGCAACGGAAGCGACGGAAACCTCAAATGATTTGACGAGAAGGAGAAGGAGAATTCGGTTAATTTCGCCGCGGCACGCCACGGCCAACCTCTCGATCTTTTGTAGCGTAACGCGAGTATCCTCGCGAGTACATTCTCTCGCGGGGTTTCTTCCACTTTGAGCGCACGAGAAAACTTCCATCGTACAACACGACACGTTTAATTCTATCCAGGTGTCCGTACAGATTTGATTCCATCCATGTTCGTGTTTCAAATATAATCATTTCAACGTCTCTCGACATTTTTCTCAATTTACTATTTTTCTGCAAGTGCGTGATACAGAGAAAGGGGTAAATGTGTTGAATGTTTTTTCAAGTATAACGAGTGATAAATAATTGATATGAAAAAAAAGTGACAATGAAATTTTGAGGGTAGGTAGTCGGGTGCGTTGGTACGATAAGCGACCACCACGTTGGACGCGTCGTTGGATGCGATAAAATTGGCTTCCGGAGCCGCCTCGTTTGACGATTCCCCGTGAGAGAAGCGGTTCGCCGAAGTCAAACGTCTAGGAAACGTGTAGGAAACGGCGAGGAGAGCTCCCGCTGCGGGGTTTTCGGTGAGATGTGCATCGAGGCATCGAGGCATCGAGGCGTCGGGCGAGGAAGCTGCCCCTAGGCCGCGCTTCGGCCGGAAAGATGTGCGAGAGAGCCTCGGAGGTACAAGACAAAGATGAAAAGATGAAAGGCATCCCGCCCTCAGCCACCGCCAGCGCGGCGCGTTGCTTCTGCCGCCTTCTTCGTTGCTGCTTCTCGCGCTGGCGCGGTGTCTGGTCATCAACACCTGAATCCCAAGAGCGTTTCTCCTCTCTCGGTTTCTCGCGCGCCAACCCCCTCTCTTTCTCTCCTTCCCTCTGCCTCCCTCTTTCTCCGCGCCTCTCTTTGTTCCTCGGCCGCGTTCGCGCCCATTTCGTTCCCTCGACCGCCGCCGCCGCCGCCGCGTCTAGCCTTAAGGTACTCCGGGGCCAGTTTCTCTCTACCTCTATTCGGGCCTCCTTCGCCCCCTCGACACCCTCGACACCCTCGAAAGGTTCCATCTCTCACGTACACACACCTGCATACCCGGTGTACACACGCACGTCCCGCTCTCCCTTGCTCTCTCTTTCTCTCTCTTTCTGTAACTAACGCGGCGTAATCTAGGCCCGACTGATGGATGGAATTCCTCACCGAGAGGTGCCCCCGCCGCAAAATCGAACCAGAAAAAATTGCCGACGGACCGAATGCTTTAACGCCGCTTTTGTTGTCCGCTCCGCTCCGCGCCGCGTTCCGATCCGAGTTAAAAGGGCTAACCGCTTCGGCGCTCGCGGCCAAATTTCGCGACGAATTCGAAACGGTGCGATGCGATGCGGTGCGGTGCGTTGCGGTGCGGATGGGCGAGAGATCGTGATAAAAGTCCGAGTAAAAATCG